CCCCCCCCCCCCCCCCCCCCCCCCCCCCCCCGATCACGCCGTCCCTGAATGTTATCATTACTTTCTCGAAGTATTTATATGATATTTTAATCAAAATATTCGAAAACACTTATTGAGAGCTAAAACAATGACAAACAATGGAAATAATGTCTTCAACTGAAGTTTTGACATAAAAATAGTGAACAAAGTTCTTTGCTTTCTAATTATAACATAAGAATCAAGGAGCTATGAATTGAAGCCGAATGTTCGGTTTTGATTTTGACTGTAGTCATTTTCAGTGAATTAATAAAAAATAAGTAGAAGGAAGATAAAAGGAAATATTTCAAAATTGATTATGATAGATCTTGACACAATAGAATAAATAATGCAAAAACGAAAGGACTACAAATACCCTATTATATAAATAAAGAAGTGTTTAGGCAATCTCTTAATGACTCAACATTGTCTGAATTTGTTGGATAACTTTCGAATACAAATCGGTCGTTCTAAATATCATACCAGATTTCAGGTTCGGTACATGCCTAGCATCATTTGTTTACGTTGAAATGATTTAATAGTGTTCATGGAGGCTAAGAAGTTTTTTCAAGAACATTTTGTTTATACTCATTTTTCACTTTTTTTAGGTACGTTTTTCTATTGTCATTAACAAGACATCAGAACATTTGGTTAATGGACGGCTAGGGGTGTGAGTGTGGATGAATGAATGGATATATTGATCCTTCATTCACATACAATAGAAAATGTGTAGATCAATGTACTCACTTCAGTATAAAATGCTAATCATGATGATATGACTTTTCAACCTAAGACCTAATCAGGTTTCGCGAAGTTTCATTCATACTTAGATCTAACCAAAAGTTCTGAGATCTTTAAATAAAAATATAAAAATATAAAGATATGGAGATATTTTTAATTTAATTTTATCCAATATCGAGAATAGTTGCCATAATTATTTATATCAAGTTCAATTCTTTCTAACAATTTATAAAAAGTTTTTTTGAAGTGTTTTTCGAAAAAAATGTTAGCTACCTTGGAAACTGCATGAGTACATAATGTTTCATTTATTTAATTAATTAAACTCCCTTTGATAGAGCTATTTAATCAAAGATTGGGTAGTATTAGGTACAGCGAGTGTGACTGCTACGACATTATATTGATGTCTTGTTCTGTCCAATAATTGATAACATCGGATGAGTATACAGTCAACGATGATCCTGAAGCAGTTTTGTATATTTTGTACCTAACTGCCTCCTTTTATTTTCATATTACATTTACAAAAGGCTTCAGACAATTTTCAATATAATACTTGTAACCTACTGTCATGCCTTTATCTACACCCAGGACTATTTGATTTAAAGCATATGTCAAACAAAGTTTCTATTCAAATGGATCTCCATGAACAATAGTCTTTGACGATTCGTCCTCAATAAGCCAGCTAGAATTAGATGACTTATGATTAACCTATATAAAATAAATCTATACCTCGTCACTAGTACCACTAGAACGCAAATGACAACATCTAACAAAACTTCGCTAAAATTTTAAAACAAATGAAGTATGATTAGCTCATGCGATATCCATCCAAGGTAGCTAAAATGTTTTTGGAAAAATAGTTCAAAAAACCTTTCAATAAATTGTTAGAAAGAATTGAACTTGATATAAATAATCATGGCAACTATCCTCAATATTCGATAAAATAAAATTAAAAATATCTCCTTATCTTTATATTTTTATTTAAAGATCTCAGAACTTTTGGTTAGACCTAAGTACAATGAGATCAGGTGTGAGTAGCCTGCTTTCTTACAAGCAACCTACACACAAGACGACCTATCCGCTCACAACCATTAATCTTTATTCATACGTTGTCAGGTGCTTCAAATACAGATTTTGTTTTTTTCGGATTTCATCGTTCTTTTAAAAAAATCGTAGAAATGCTTTCACTACTTTGTTGTCCCGTTGCAATAAGTTTTATTCAGAAATCTTTTACTAATCTCAACAGAAAAATGGGATAATCTTTAGAAAATACCGTAGCCGTATATGACTGCTGCCAGATAAAAGCGACCATGTACAGTGTCCGCATAAGTCTATATGAAGAGTACAAGGTTCCATTGCTTGGTAAATCTGTACTTTTTACAAACTCTCTATTCTTAATTGTGTTTTTTTGTTGCCTATCTTCATAAACCATAGTCGCAAATGGCGTCCGTGCACGTTCTCCGTTTATTACTCCTTATCACAGTTAAAGAACGTTTACGAGTGTGCATCGTTGAGTAGTTTATCTTATGCACACAATTCGAAGTTAACAATTGATGAAACTTCGAATGATAGTCACGTTGCAAGCTATTCAATTCAAGATAGTCAATTGGACATGCAAAGACATGACTGTCATAACAATAATGCATAATCTTTCATTCCAGCTTACTTCTTTTCTATAAATATATTGAAGGTACGTTTCTTTTTTTATTGAAGATGTTTTCTGAATGAGTCCTTGGATGTGGAAAGTAAACCACGCTTATAGAAAGTCTTCGTCTTTCGAACAGTGTACGATTATAAGACAATTGTATTGATCAAAACCAATATGGTATAGCAACAGACTGTTTTAAGGTATGCTACTAGACTTGAATATTATCTTTTATTGCGTAGAAAGGTGACAGATCAATTGATTGTTATTTTTTATTCAACTTCGTCCTCTAGTAGAATTCATCCACGAATAAAAGATTTTTCATCATGATATTAACATTATTAATGTATTTTTGAAACGAAATCATATTAAACTGGGTGATTTCGACACTTGTCAGTATGCTATTTTATGACTTCAACTACTGTTTCAGGAGTATATAGGTTGGCGTGGACCTACTCTTCACTCATACTCCATCCTTCAGTACGATCGTGAAAAAACCAAAGATCAATTTCTATAACAGGGAATCAAACAACTCTACAGATTGCCTTATATTTTTGAAAAAAATGGCAAAGTCCAAGAAAGTGACTAGTGTCAAAAATCTCTTCGTGGATCTATAATTATTTTCATAAGTGATGCGAAGAACAACGGTACGAACTGGTCATGGCCAATGATACCATTTTCTTCGGTTTTAGTATACTGTCGATTCTCAAATATGTACAGCAATCAATCAGCTTGTACTATATAAGTTTTTGAGCGTATTGGCTTGTTCAACTATCTAACCATAATTAATTATTTGTGTTACATATATTTTACTGTTTGGTTCTTTGTAGATTTTTGAGTTG